TTCCCTACTTGGCCAACCCTTCACTCAGCTGGATGGCCATTCCTCTGTAGGTCACAGGATGACCTCTGAAACCTGGATTCTGATCAGTTCCAACGTTAAACCCACGTTCTAAGCCTGCGTTGGAAGAGCCCTATTGATTTGGGTGAAACTGGAGCGCTAGAAAGACCCGCATTCCACTGGCGAGATAAGAAATCAAGCCCAAAGAATGCCAGTAAAGGAATCTCTCTGCTACAACTGACTGCTGCCTATACGTATCACAATCAGCCGATTAACATGCCGCCTGCTTTCAGAGCTTGAGCTACTTACAGAACACAGCGTGTAAGTCTCCAGGTTTAGGTCTTCCAACATAGCAGAAATAGGCAGGGAGAATCATCAATTCTTAGCTAGACAACAACCAAGTTGAGAGAAATAGAGTACTTATTTCAAAGACTTTTCAGGATCTTACAACAATGTGATTTTTTTTTAAGCTAAGTATTTCCCTTTGGTAGCTACCACTAATTAACAAAATATTCTGATGCACTGAGGTAACACTTTTCTTCTATGACAGTTAGTCCTTATTTGTTTCATAATGACTAATCATTTTTTTAAATGGAAAATAGCTTTTCTAAATATGCACATACATACTGCTATTTAGCAAACAATATACCAACATTTGTGCTTTAATAAATTACATGAAGGCTGTATTGCTTGTTCCAAGATTCATCAGAACAGAAGTGCATTAAAAATAAGTTCTGTAGACAGGAAATGGATGATGTACCTGATCAAAATAGGACATCAGAAGTTTTAGGCAACCATATTTTCTATATTGCCCCTCAATGAAAAAAAAACAGATATGGTTAATAAAACTAATAATACTAAGTGTACTCTTACATAAAGCTAAATACATCATTGTTAAACCATCTTCATTATAAAGGACAGTACATTGGAAGCAAAAAGTTCCAGCTGTAGGAACACAAACAAATACAACTTATAGACATTTCATTATAAAGAAGCACTGTCATTACAAAAAAAAATACATTTTTGTCTGAAGAACTTTGTACTTACTGTAAAGAATTACAGAGTATAATGGTAACAAAGCACTGAGAAAAAGTTCTCCTTTTTATTTGTTTTTATTGTGAATTGGACTGTATTAGATCAATAGTTTCCATACCTGTGTAATGAGGCAGTTCTAATCCATTAAAGCAAGAGCTGAAAAAATTCCCATTTACTATAATTGGCTTTGGATCAGGACCTCAGACAGGCAGCTTCTCCTTGCTAAGTGATGTTTGCATGTAAGAATTGACAAACTTTAAGATTCACAAAATATTTTAACTATGTTGTTCTAAACTCAAGACATGCCAATCAGGCTGTATATAGACGAGCCAGTTCCATCAATGAGTAGCAATTATTTCCAAGACAGCTTCACAAATATTCAAGTTGACAGCACCTCTTTAAGCACTGATTATGGCTCCATTTTCCATTTGTTTGAATTAAATGAAAATCATATATCCATAGGTCAATGTAAATTTGAAGAAATAAAATATCTTTCTGTAAAACTCTACATACCTAGTTACTCAAATATTCTCTCTCAGGATTCATAATCTTTCCCTCATAGCAATTGATTCATATTGACCATCTATGCCTAGACATGGTTTTTTTGTTGTTTTTTTTTTAAAAGAAAGAAAGAAGACCACATTTCAAAAGGTATAAGCCTAAATTGTACTTGCTGATTTGATTTTAACACCACAGGCACCGTGCCTGCAGTGCTTCCACTTTGCTTCCACAAAACTAATAGTGCACATTTCAAATCAGTCTTCTAATAACACACTTTGTTTTCAGCGTACACCAGACAGCACGGCACCATGAGTCTGTATTTGCCATGGCTACAGGAGCTCAGACCAGCTTTTGCCCAATCCACAGAAACTCAGGGAAAATCCAGGACTTCTGGGAAATCCCCAACAGCACATCTACGCAGCCTGCTGCACAGACCACTTTGCCTCGTCGGTTTTGTCTTCTTCCTAATTTGTATCATGCTTTTCTTTCCCTGCAAAAACATCTGTCCTTTTTTTGTTCTGGTGCCATCAGCGCACCCAGCCGCCTTGAATTAGAGTATGGAAAATGAACAAGAATAGCCAGGAACTGAAAACCTTTTGCTACATTGTTCAGGAAGCTGGCATAAAGCAATAGGAACCATGAGCAGTTTAGTTAAATGGTCTAAAGATCCCACGGCCTTGGTGTACTTCCAAGCCCCTGACAACTTAATCTCATTGCTGCTTGATTTACTTTTTTTTTTTACTCTGTGATGATTATAAGTAAATGCAACACATTATTCTACCCGAAATATTTAAAAAACATAAAAGCAGGCCTTCCCTCTGCTTTGCCAGTTTAGGCACTTGGTGTATTGAAAGCTCTTCGGCCAGAATTCCCAAGAGTACATTTGAGCCTCAAGCTGTCAGAAAAATATGTCCATTAAGGAAATAAGGGAAGCCACTGGGCGCAGAGAATTTAGGCTGCTGCTTACACTTGAATTTCTGTACCGAAGTTCATTTGGGAATCCAGCCCCTTAGGGCACCCTGCTTTGGGGTCTGATTTTCAGAAACGCTCAGCGCTATTTAAGGACAAAAACAAGGGATTAAACTTCCAAAATACAGTCCCTTGACTGAGTTTAAAGCTACAGTTTAAACCCTCTGGCCTGGTTTGTTTGTGTAAACCAGGACTCCATATTTCCTTTGGTTTCCCCAAATTGTCAGAAGTCAGACTGCTTTTAGACAGGTGAGTGGTTATTCAAAGCCAACCTGACAAAAGGCACAAGCTGGCATGCTGCAAAGAAGGAATCAGTGATGGATTCAAGAAACACAGAGCAAATTTGCAGAAGGGACTGAAGCCTGACAGATCACTACTGCTGGTCCACCCCCTCTGTGTGATCAGGAACATTTACAGACAAAAAAAAATGCCCTGACATTTCTGACATTTTCATGCAATTTATATTAATAAATTGTGGGAGGAAATAGGCACAATGAAGCACAACATAATTGCCATGGACAAGTATTGCAAAACAGCCAATTTGTCTGTGTATCAAGTGAAAAATGACTATTGCTCAGCCTTCGTTTACCATCCTCTGTCAGCGCCTGCTCTAATTCATATTCCTAGTCCACAGAGAGGGGATTATATTGCACACAGCAGGCAATCCTCAGGCTAACTCAGTGGCTGTTGATGGCTACAGAGACATGGTACGTGATTATTGCTCCTGCAGTTTAAAACATGGGATCGCACTGAAGCTACCAGCGTCCAGCTTCCACTGTCAACTTGAACGGAAAAATCAGCCAAGGGCTCAATATTTTCGTCTTGGCGGACAAGAAACTTTCTGAGGAAACAGAAGTTTTGTTTGTGCAAATACTGACAACACACAAATGCAAGAGGGGTGCTGACATGGGAAACAAAAAGTTCTTTTCTAGTTCACTAAAGTCGTTCCCGACACTGGCCCACTTCACCACAATCCAAACCTGAACTACCCAGAACAGGTAACTGGAATAAACACTATGGGATGGATCGCTGAAGCTGCCCATCAGGTGCTGGGGGGCCTTAAGCTGTGCTGGAATGAGTGGAAGTTGAGAACACCCTGTTCTCTGCAGGAATGTGTGCTCCTAAAAGGTTATGAACCATAAGCACGTTGGTATTTTTTCCTGAAATTTCATATACTTGCACAGTCGTTGCTGAAGCTCCCAGCAGGCTAGCATATGCCAAGCGGTCACTAGCGGTTTCACTACCCAGTTCTCTAAACAGGTGAATTATCTGGATAGACAAGAAAAACCCACAGTCATCGCATGCAGTCACCACGCGACAGCTCCATCAACAACGACTGGACGCTCAATGATATGTCCCAGTTTAGAAACAACCATGGAGCAAACAGACTCCGAAAAGAATATATAGTTAACAGGAAAGGGAAAAAAAGATTGCATAGTCCCACATTGTAACCAATTCTAACAAAAGCTAAAGATATGAACTAATAACTTCTGCAGTCACATTCAAGAAAGCAAAGCAGGTCTTGACCCACAATTCCTCACTACCCGATTGAAATGCTAGCAGATTTGTTTTTCTATTAAGTGTAGAAACTGCTTCAAGCATGACTCATCCAACTGTACCACTTCAGCAACCTGCTAATGCACACCACTTCTGAAAAAAAAAAAAAGAAAAGGAAAGGAAAAAAAAAGAGCCAGAAGCATCTCATCTAAGCCCATTAAAAAGCTCTATCAATAGGGGAAAAATATTCATAATTAAAGATCCCTTCCACAAAAACTATTGACATGGGCAGAGCAGTAATCCTTCCCTAAGTTTCATCAACTTCAAAGATCTATCCATCCCTGAATTGTTATAGGGACTGTTCAATGAAAAGCAACTGAGACCTTGTTATTCGTTACTACTGAGGAGTAAAAAGCATTTTCATGAGAAATAATATGCTTGTCTTCGTGACCACGCATACAAATACAGCTTCAGTTTAAAATTCCCTGGTTTCATTGTAGCTAAACACCTATTTGTTCTTCATATTCCATTCTTGAAGGGTTTTCCGTACCTGGTGCAAGGGAGACAACAATTGCAGGCCTTGGATCTACTAAATGCACAGGGCTCGCTTTCCAGCTATTAGGGGCACATGAAATTGAGGACCATAGGGCTAAATCTGCTCTGCAGTCTCGGAGGGTCTTGCCATTGCCTTTCAATGGGCAAAAATTACACTGGTCTCCATTCAGGCACCCAAAGAAAGGCTACATTTCCAAAAGATCCCATCCCCAAGAAGCTCCCATAGTGACGCAAAGAGGTTTCCAAAGTGCTCTGTGCATACCTGTGAACTCTCATTTGTAAATCTGACCACGCGTACCATATTTTGGCATTTAAATAGGAGATGAGCGTTTTTTGTAAAGTCTCCCCCAGAGGAGGAGTTGGGCCCTTCTAAAAATTCCAGCCAATGGAAACCGGATTAGTCCAAAAAGAAAAACAAGAGGGTCCATCCCTTGGGGGCCCCCAAATTGACAGCAATGCAAGCACATAGCCTAGGCCACAAAAGGCTCTTCAAACCTGGCTGTACTTTTTTTTAAAAAATGCAATTATTTACAAGTTGGTTAAAACTTAATTTCAATTTTTTTTAAAAAATTCTTAAAATAGTTGGTCGATGGACATCAGGAGGCACTACTTCACGGTCAGGGCAGCCAGGGTCTGGAACCAGCTTCCAAGTGAGGTGGTGCAGGCCCCCACCCTGGGGGTTTTTAAGAGGAGGTTAGATGACCATCTTGCTCTCTTTCCTGCCATGGCAGGGGGTCGGACTAGATGATCTGCCTAGGTCCCTTCCAACCCTAGAAACTATG